GTGTCTGAGGAAAGAAAAGAGGTTATAGGTAAATTAATGAGAATTCAAAGTAAGCAATCTTCAGCAGCACTGAGTAAGGCTAACGATAATTACCTCCCAGCTCGCTTCAGCATTTTATTATTTAGTGCCTTCATGACATTAAAAATCCTATCATTTGGCTCAGCGCCTATAGCTCAGCAGCTAGGACATCAGCCACATATGGGTTCGAGCCCAGGTGGCGGGTTCGAGCCCAGGTCAGGTCTGCCAAACAACAATGACAACTACAACAAAATAGCTGGGCATTGTGGCAGGTGCCTGTAGTCCCAGCTACTTGGGAGGATGAAGCAAGAAAATCCCTTAAGCCCAAGAGTTGGAGGTTGCTGTGAGCTGTGATGTCACAGCACTCTAGCAACAGCGGCATAGTGAGACTGTCTAAAAAAAAAATTCTTATCATCTGTTTTTTATGATAATTAGTTTTTCCTAATAACAAAATGATACATAGACGAGCATCTGGAATAATAGGTGTTTATGAAACAATACATAGTTGGACATCTTAGGAAAGCACAGGAGGAGAGAAAAAAAAATTCCCAATCCTAGAACTTAGAGAGAACTCTTGTCAAAATTATCACATATTTCAATCTAGTATCTTGTTTTTCTGGCTTTTTACCAAAATAAAAATTGAGATAATAACCTCTATAAAGTGTATGTATTTACTTTTGTGTAATAAAAACTCATATTAGTAAACTTCAGAATCCTATTTTGACAGGCAAATTATAAGGAGTATTATTCATTCTCCTATAAGCATGTATTCCCTGGCATACCATTTCTAATATTTCTCATAGAAAGTAAGAATTTTTTTCAAATCTTTGAATAAAAATGTTATCTTTTGCTTTATTATTTTATAACTATTAAGAGTGTTAAAATTTTCATATGGTTAATGGATATTTAAATTTGGGGAGGGAATTAACGGTTCTTTTTCTTTATATAGATATCTTTAACATTACATGCTTCCATCAAGCAGCTCTTAGTCTATTAAGTTCATTAAGCTTTTCTTTAACTTTTCATTTTTGCAAAAATTGGGAATCTCTTTCATTTCTAGTCAAGCAAAATTCATATCAAATGCAATTGTGCAGACCTCAATGAAATGCACAAATACTTATCAGTATATATAAATAAGTAAAATTAAATGATGTGAACTACTTAGTTAACAAAATTGTAAATGCTCAAAGCATTAACAGTAGCACTAAAGCATTGCTATCATCAGAATTTAATGTTTAAAAGTTGTATAAAACTTACCAGTGCATTGTGTGTGACCTTTAAAATGTATTAAATACACTACAATTTAAAGCACTACATAAAAAATAAACTGTATGGATACTCATGTTCAAGCAGAACTGAAGAACATAGATGTTAACTAATATGTACAGTATCATATGATCTAATACACACATACTTGTATTTTTTTTTTTTTTTTGAGACAGAGCCTCAAGCTGTCCCCCTGGGTAGAGTGCCATGGCATTACAGCTCACAGCAACCTCCAACTCCTGGGCTCAAGCGAGTCTCCTGCCTCCGCCTCCCAAGTAGCTGGGACCACAGGCGCCCGCCACAGTGCCTGGCTATTTTTTGGTTGCAGCCGTCATTGTTGTTTGGCGGGTCCAGGCTGGGGATTCGAACCCACCACCTTAGGTGTAAGTGGCTGGCACCTTAGCCAGTTGAGCTATAGGCGCCAAGCCCACATACTTGTATTATATATGGATTGACAATGACTTTGAAATGCTCAATCCAGTAGCAGCTAGATCTCAGCATTGCTTTTTAAAATTTCACCTTCTGAAAGAATTTTTAATTTGAAAATCGTTAAATGGGGCATTCAGTCCCATGAAGGGCTAACGAAGAGAGTTAAAGTTGATCTGCAGGGTTGAAAGCCAAATTCTGAATTTACTCATTTATCAAATCATGCTTTTCTATTTTTGAGTTCCTGCAATTGCAAGGCACAGTTCCAGGCTGTTAGAACTGAGAGGTTATGTATTAGAATAGACGACATTTTCAGTTAGAAATCACCGATTTTTAATACAGAGGATCTAGTTGACATCTACATAAATCTATATAATTGTTTTAGTCACATTCTTGATGATCTTTATTTCCACCAAGACTCAAAGAAAATGTTTTTCTAAATCTTTCCCCTCTTCTTTTGCTCCTAACTGAGAAATGAAGACCTGTCTGTGTGGGTGAAGTTCGCTGACGTGATTGCATATCTGTGATTGGCAGTCTAAATGAGCTCCGGGGTCAGACACACAGTACTGTGGGCAGAGATGAAGAAGCAGATGAAAAGTCAGGGGATAATGGCCGGCTGTGCTTATCATTCTCTCTTTCCTCTGCGGCAGACTGTCATGGCTGTCACTCCCTCTCATTGGAGGGCTGGGAGTGACACAACCGGATATTGCTGTCTGAATTGCTAGGTAGCTTTCAGGCAAGGACAATAATTATTATATTCTAATTTCAAAATGATAATTTCTTTGCTCAGCACTGTGGCATAAGTGGATGGGAATACATAATTAATTTTTAGTACTGTGCCATTGAGTTACTTGTGCCATTTGTACAAGTCGCACAGCCATGCATACACATATTGTGTGGTGTGTTTACGCTCATGTGCACTATATATTCTAATGTACAGTATTATGCATAGATATCAGAGGAAGATAGCATTTTTTAAAATTTCTGTTACTATTCTCTAATTGTTCCCAAGCATTCATTAGACATAATATCTCTGAGGTCAATTTAATGTAATATGTCCTTTCTGTATTGGTAAGAATCGGAGGCAGATAAATGAGATGGAATTAATATTTACACAGATTCTATTTTAGCCTAATGCAATACTGGTATTTTTATCTACTCTATTTTGTTTAATGCTCATGAAAATTGACTATGTACATGATTAATGAGCCTTAGTTTCCAGAAGTCATATAATTCCCTAGAAGTCAGAGCAGCTAATATAAGATAAAACTGTGATTCTCCCAGGGTTCCTTTGACACCTAAACTTATGCTTTTTCAGATACAAGTTGCTTAAAGTGATGATCTTAGGTAGACCTGCAGGTATTATTGTTTCCTCAATAGTGCAATGCTTTCCATAACTTAAAAAAGCTAGTTTTGAGTTTTGTTTATTGAAGAGGTTTGTCAACTTTAGGGAATCTATTCGATGTGATCTTTTGACCGCCCTCCCCCGCTCTTATCTAATTGTTTTCAAATGTAAAGCACCAATTCTAGTTGCTGAACTAGATGACTTAAAGTTATTGCACTTCTCTGATCACCTCTTCCATACATTTATATCATTGATAACATAGTCGTCCTTCTCCACCTAAGCCATTTAGACAGAATGCAGAGATTGCAAACTCAAATGTCTATGGCTTGCAGAGCTATGTGTGAATGAGTCTGAGCGTGAAAAATGGAGAGTGATGAAGTCAGTTTTAAATTAGAGCCTGCAAACTCCTCATAAAGGTTTTTAGATCTACTTACACACAAACAATTCTTTTTTTTTTTTTTTTTTTTTTGAGACAGAGCCTCAAGCTGTCCCCCTGGGTAGAGTGCCGTGGCATTACAGCTCACAGCACCCTCCAACTCCTGGGCTCAAGCGAGTCTCCTGCCTCTACCTCCCAAGTAGCTGGGACCACAGGCGCCCGCCACAACGCCCGGCTATTTTTTGGTTGCAGCCGTCATTGTTGTTTGGCGGGTCCGGGCTGGGGATTCGAACCCGCCACCTTAGGTGTACGTGGCTGGCGCCTTAGCCGGTTGAGCTATAGGCGCCGAGCCCACACAAACAATTCTTAATCAAAACACTCGGATATGAATTAATTCAACCCAAGGCGTCAAGTTTATAACACTTAATGAAAATTAAATGTTCATAGATATTTGAGCACCTTATAAAATAAGCATAAAATGCATTAGCTATTATCAGAATTTATATATATATAGTAGTTTATAGTATAATCTATTGTAGTTAAATATGTACTATTCAGTTTTCTTAATTATTTCTTCTGTGAGCAAAACTAATCATTTCCAAATAAGACAAGAAGTTGCTGCTGCTTGTCTTCAGGAATCCGCTTTGAAATGTAAAAGGAATAACAAAACCCTGCCTTGAGACCTGATTCAAGGTCAGATATATTTGTGCGTGTTTTGCAAGTGGGAAGGTTAAATCACCAGGGAAACTCAAATGCACTGTAAAAGACTTCTAAGAAATTAAATTATATGCTTTGGAAGTCCAGCACTTCCGAGTTGATATTAGAGATTATAAAGGGTTTAAAGTGTATGAGTTGTTCTTTGGGAAAAAATGGGAGAGAAACTGTCGGTGTTCAGCAGGGAGACAGCGCCAGGTTTGCGAAGTTCATCTCATGTGCCTGGGCCGTCTGGGCTGCAGATTTGGCCTGGTGGCTGGCCAGGCACGTCACCGCCCCTCCCTGCTCCGGTTTGCTTTCCAAATCAGAGGCGCAGACGAGGAACTCTGGCTCAGAAGTGTTGCGTGTGGTTCTTCACCTTTCCTAGAACTCCCACATCCAGCCACGACGTCCTGGTGGCTTTGCCGTGTGTGCAGGAAGCCCTGCTGCAGGAAGCTCTGCTCGGACCGTTCAGGGCATGTTCAGATGAAAACCCAAGCTGTGGGGAGCACTTTCCGCCTTCTCCGTCTTGCATTTGGTTTTTGCTGTTTCTCCCTATTCAGCAGCTCCCTGTGAATAGACGGGATTATGAGTTAATGCAGGGCTACGAGTTGTTGCTAGGACAAAAAAACCCGGGCTTTGTGTGAGGAATGATATTTGTTCTCCAGCTTTCTCTTGGAAATGTAAGCACCTTTCCTTTTCTAGCAGATTTTTTTTCCCTTCATTTAGAAATGGTGGTAAAGATTTCCGATTCATTGAGTAGAACCTAGAGCCGGGCGCATTAGGCACAGTCAGTGTTTGGGGGACTCCCGTGGAGGCGACTATGAGGAATGTTTGGATGAACCTTAGGCTAAATGTGTTACCGTGTTTTTACAGGCGGCGACCGGGATCGGATGACAGCAAATCATGAGAGCTACCTACTCATGGCCAGCACCCAGAATGATATGGAAGACTGGGTGAGGTCCATCCGCAGAGTCATATGGGGACCTTTTGGAGGCGGTGAGTATGTTTTAAAGTCATGGAAAAACAGAAAGGCCAGACCTTTTCATCCTTTTCCCTCAGCAGATGTTACTTATATTGGCTCCTGTGCTCAAATGGATGAATGTTGAAATAAATAGTAAATTGTCCGACATTGTTGTTAGACACATATCTAAGTTTAAAAAATGCATGTTTTTCTTTTAGTTTTGGATTTTTCCATTTTACTAACAACAGTTAGTGGACTGTCAGGTAGTGTACTATACATGCAGATTAAGAACCTCTAGAAATGAAGCCAAAAAAATTGGCTAGTAGCTCTGGAAAGGATCCCAGCCCTCAGATCTTCGGTAGTATCAAAGAGGAACGCCAAACCTCTGGCTGGGTATTGAATGATTATTGGAGTGAAAAAAAAATGTTTCAGATCAGTTATGAGTATGTAGATTTGATAGTAAATTATTAAATGGTGTAGTTAATATTGTGTTAAGAATTTACCAGATTAAGAATAATGTAAAAAGAATAGAATTGAATGGAGGATGAAAAGACAAAAGTAGAGTCTTGGTCTATTAAGAAATGTAAATAGAATAATGTAAACAGAAAAATCTTTTAAAGAAAATTTTCAGTAAACGGAACCAAAAATGAAGGACCCAATAATATTTATCTGCAACCAAAGTGTATTTCCAGAAATGTAAAGCCTAAATATTTTATGTTAATATGGATAAAATAAATTTTATTAAATCAAATTCACACTTAAGCCAATGACATTTCTCATTTCTATTTTATAAACTCTTTTATGTACGGTCAGCTCCCTGAACTGAGAAAATGAGTTTTTTCCCCATAAATGTATCAGATAGCTTTTTAGGCTAACCAACCATTTTACTTTTCAGAATAATTCTGAAAGCTTAGTTTAAAAAGCTAGGTTATGTTTAAAACAGTAAAAATTCACTGAAGACACGTTGATATTCTATTAGATTTACTAGATATTTTTCTAGATACAGGTCTGTAAAATTGGTTTTTAGTAGCATCTAAAATAAATAAATAAGTAAAAAGACTATTTATTTCAGCTTACCTGGTAACAGTCTGGTTTCCAGCTGTTGTTCCAGGCTAATTATTGATTGTGCTACCTTTAATTCTCACAGTGTTCTAGTTCAGATGACCACACACATTCCCGATCGTTAGTAACGGATGGCAAATAAGCTGCTATGTAAACTGTTCAAAAATGCCCCAGAGGCTGAGGTCTCCACTTCAGTGCCTTACCAGGAGATTCCTTATATTTCTACAGTAAGGATTCCTTCCTTATCCATGGTTTTAGTTATACCCCAGGCAACTGTGGTCTGAGTGAATGTCTTAGTAAGCTTAATTCATAAATTAAACTTTATCATATGTATGTGTGTGTAGGAAAACATAGTGTATGTCAGCTTCAGTACTGCTCAAGGTTTCAGGGATCCTCTGGGGGGTCTCGGAACATGCTCCCTGTGCATAAGGGGGGCTATTGAACTTGAGAGACACAGACTCAGCCTGTAGAGGTTTGCCAGAACTTCCAGGGTCAAGGAGTAGGGGGGGACCGGACGATGTATCTTTTCAAAGTCCCTGTTGATTACAAAGCCCTCTTCTCTCCTCTGTCATAAATCTCTGGGTCTCCTAAGTTTAGGACACTCCTTAATATCTTCTTAAAAAAGTATTTTTGTTGAGAGATTATTTCCATCAAGTGTATTTTTTTTCCTCACTTTCCTCTTCTTCTGTTATTTCCTCAAGAAAAATGAATTAAAGATCCAGTTATCTTATCCAAATCAGTGGCCATAGGCAGAGCCACCAGTCTAGACATTTCAGGACTGGGCAAAATGTATATGTGAATCGTCAACTTCATGAATCTGGAAGGGACGCTCTAACAATTAGTCCATATACTTTATCCCAAGAGGTGTACTTCAAGGATTTTACAAACACTTGATTCACATTTACTTTTAAAGAGATGGATTTTAGTATATAGCACTCTTTATAGAAATAACGCTTCAGAGAATACATCTCCTTACTTCATTGTCTAATGGGAGAGTGTTATGAGATTGCAAGGCAAAGTTTTAAAGTATTCATTTAATTGAAGAAATCCTTTACTATCAGATTTTTTTTAAGTTAATATGGAATGCATTACTCAACTGGATATTAGTCCAGATAAAAGATTGCCACTGCCACCTATAATCTAGGGCTTCAAATGTATCTATTAATATGAATGAATTCAATGCTTATTGATTGAATGTTAAAGATGTGTTATAAATTTTAGTTGTAAGTAATAAATGTATATTACTGAAAACCCTTTTTACTTATACTGTATATTAAGATTCCACTTAACAATTCATTGAGAATAAGTTTTCCACTGATTTGGAATATTTATGAACCACCATTTTAATTTACCACCCCTGCCCCCATTTTGTGGATTGAATCATTAAGACACAGGGAGAAAGAAAAACTTAGTAAGTGTTATAGTGTGAGTTCCAGAACTAGGAAGAAACCCTTACCTTCCCCCTGTGCTACAGCTCAGTGAGGCAGTCTGTCACATCTACGGTGGCAGTAACGTGTGTTGTAAGTCTATGCCTTCTTGACAATATATTCTTCTTTATAAGAAAAGTAAAAGTTTTAAACAAACAAATATTAAAATGAATTATATATTAAGTCCTTCAAAAATAGCTGAATGGACGCTATAAAGCAAGTGAAATAAAAAAAACAGAAACAACCCAAATGTCCATCAACAGATAGATGGGTAAACAGAATGTGATATATGCATAGAATGGATTATTACTCAGCATAAAAAGGGAGGAAGGACGGGTATGTGCAGCCGCGTGAATGAAGCTGGACAGTGAATGGGACGTGGAAGAAGCCAGTTACAACGGATCACATGTTATGACTCCATTCTTGTGAAAGGATAGAACAGAGAAGCCTGAAGAGACAGAAAGTAGATTAGTGGTTACTTAGGGCTGGGATGGGAGGATGAGGGGACAGCAGAGTGACAGCCAAAAGGTTGGGGATTTCTTTTGCAGAAAATAAAAATGTACTAGAATTGACTGACGATGGTTGTACTTATTTGTGAGTATAATAAAAAGCCATTGAATTGTACACTTTAAACAGGCGAGTTCTAGAGTCTGAGTGATATCTCAATAAGTCTGTTAAAAAAAAAGTCGGCATTGCCATAACTGCCTTTCCTGAGAGAATGCATTTTCTCTTCCTACCTTAGTCATGCAACCCTTATTAATCCTGAATAAAAGCCACAGGATTAGATGGCATCTGTAAAAACATTGAGAAGAGAAGGTGATATATCACCCTGATTTATCAATTTAGCATACCACCTTTGGACATATTTTGAATGTATCTGTTACAAAGATGGCATTTCATTGTGGCAGTTTCATAACTTGCGTTTT